ACACACACACACACACACACACACACACACACACACACACACACACACGCATGCACACAGTAAATAGGTGGTAAATAAGTTAAAACCATGAAATACTTTGAATTAGACAATTTTGTAAAGAACCTCTAGGGTAGTATTTTGGCTTGAGGGTTGTAAGACCTAAATGATGTTCTCATTTTGAAAGTGATTATAGATAGAATATCATCTGTTGTCATAGGAGTCCTTCTCTTGAAATACAAACACTAATGCTGAGCAAGAGTTCTGGATTTTTTTTCCCATATGGGCACTGGATTTATATTAATAATTTGTGAGCTGTGCTTTAGAATTGGGGGAAAAGGTTAGACTATTCATTGTGGAAAGGTCTTAAAAATAGGAAAACTCTGGTCTTTATGTGTGTGTGGGGGGAGGGAATTGTGTAGCTGGAAGGACTTTTTCTGAGTTGATTATTAAAACAATCTAGTATTTTTTAACATTTTTGAATAAATTAAAAAACCTCAAGGATTTGTGATTCATCCAGGTTTTATATGCATATTACATTTCTTCCAGAGCTTATTAGTGGTTTGATGAGTTGCTTTGGACAAAAAACCTCATCACCTAGTGGTGGCACATCATGTCAGTTAATGAGCTCTTTGAACTTTGCTAGGCTGTTCCTTGGACAACGGACATGAAGTCTTTGCCCCTTTGTTTGAAGCCTTCAGTATAATCATATGAAGAACCTTTGAAATTCAGGCAGTCATCTCAGTGCCATAGTGAGGCAGTATTTATTTCAGTTGATAGAAAAAAAGTAAAGCTTACAGCTAGTATGGTGTTTTGCACACAGTAGGTATCTGAATTATTTCTTAAATTGACATAAGATTAATTTTTTAATTCTTTAGATTTGGCCCCTTGCCAGTTAATATAGACTGGTGGGATGAATGAGATAGTCCTCATCCAAAATACCAAGAGACAAAGGCTTTTTACTTTTTCACTTTTGAAGTTATTAATACAAATGCATACATTGTTTAAAGGAACACCTATTTAAAAGCAAATGCCTTTTTTTAAGGTACAAAAATTACAGAATATCATTGCGAGTCGGGCAACTCAGTATAATCATGATATGAAGAGAAAAGAGCGCGAATATAACAAGCTAAAGGAACGTCTTCATCAACTTGTTATGAATAAAAAGGATAAAAAAGCAGGTAAACATCTGACAAATAAGTAGTAAAGAGGTAAAGAAATTGTAATTATTGGGGGGATGTTTTGATTTGAGAAATCAAATATAAGGGACTATACACATTAATTTGGAGTGTTGTGTTTTCATGCTTTATACACTCATGGTTTTAGATGAAGAAAATCCATAAAGTAACTAGATATTGCTTTATGGAAAAGGAGAATTGTCTACTTTGCCTGTAAGCAGCTAATAGTTTATTTTTCTAACGTTGAAGAGGAAGTATACAAACAGCCTTAAAGATAATATAAAACAGTTTGCTCAGAATTCATTTTGGTCAAAGACCATTACAAAACTAATAAGGCAAGGAATAGTTGTGACATGGTTTTCAGAATGTTAGAACAGGGTGAGAGTAAATTAAAGAGTAAAAAAGTATGTAGTATTTTAGAGTTAATTCCATAGGTACTTAAGTGCCTATTGTGTGCCTTTCGTTGGGATAGGTGCTGGGGGAAATAGGAAAATATTTGTCACTTGCCTCAAAGACCTTACAGTTTAGTAGAGGAAAAAATATAATTTGAATGGCTACGTATAAAAGGAGTATTAAGTTCTATGAAATCAGATCACTTCTAGCCTTGAGGAATCAAGGAAGAAATCAAAGTAGATCAAGTGTTGTCGGAACTGTAGTTTTTTTTTTTTTAAATCTATTTAGAAAAATTCTAAAAGCTTTTGTGTTAGGCAATAAACAACCTCTTATAGTATTGGTTTTTTAAAAAAATTTTTTTCCGTTAACATTTATTTTTACTTCATCCCCCTTCTGCCCACATCCCAGTTAAATAACAAACAAAAGAAAAAGAAAACTCTCATAATGAATATACCTAGTCAAGCTAAACAGATTTCTTATTGACCATGTTAAAAAATGTTTGTCTCCTTCATTATGAGTCCATCACCTGGTTATGAGATTCATCTGTAATAGTAGTTTGTTATTTCATAGATCAGATTCCTAAATTCTTTTCAAAAATTTTTTAAATGTTACTGTCATTGTAAAAATGTTGTCCTCCTGTTGCTTACATCACTGTGCATCAGTTTATATGCATCTTCCCAGTTTACTCTGAAACTGCCCATTATTTCATCATTTCTTATGGCACAGTAAATGATATTAAATTATATTCATATAGCATAGTTTATTTAGCCATTCTCCAATAGATGGACACCCCTTTAGTTTCCAGTTTTTTGCCATTGCAAGAAGAGATTCTATAAATATTTTTGTTTATATGAGTCTTTGATCTCTTTGGGGTGTATGCCTAGTTGTGGTATATCTGGGTCAAACTGTATGCACAGTTTAATGACTTTTCGGACATCTTTACAAGTTGTTCTCCAGAATAGCTAGACTAACACGTAGCTCTGCTACAGCCCCTCCAACATTTGTCATTTTCCACTTTTGTCGTCTTAGCCAACTTGATAGGTGTGAGGTAGAATCTCAGATTGCCTTAATTTGAATTTCTCTAATTATTAGTGATTTTGAGCATTTTTTCATGTTGTTAGCTTTTATTTGTTTCTTTTAAAACTTACTTCATATTCTTTAACCATGGCTACTAGTGAATGTCATAAATTTGAATCAACCTTTTATATCTTGGATGTGATATTTTGTGATAGAAACTTTTCACAAAGATTTTTTTCTCCAATTACCTGTTTTCTTTCTGATTTTAACTGCCTTGGTTTTGTTTATGCAAAAAACTTCTTAATAATAACAATAGCTAGTACTTATATAGTACTGGAAGGTTTGCAGAGTGTTTACAAGTAATATCTCATTTTATCCTCTCAACAACCCTTGCAGGTAGATACTATTATTATCTTTGTTTTAGAGATAAGGAATTTTATATAATCATAATGGTGCCTTTCGTGTTCTTTGATCCTATCCCTTGTTTGGCCATGAACTCTTCCCCTATCCACAGCTCAGAAAGATAATTTCTTGCTTGCTCTTCTGCTTTGCTTTTTGAGGTCACTTTTTGTGTCTTAAGTTATGTCTCCATTTGGAATTTATCTTCATCTATGATAGTTCATCTGTACCTAATATCTGCCAGACTGCTTTCCAGGTTTTATAACATTTATTGCCAAATAGTGAATTTTGAGGTTTATTGAACACTATGCTCCTGTGTTCATTTCCTCTATTGTGTAACTAATCTGTTCCACATACTGACTGCTTCTATTTTTTAACTAGTACCCATTTGTTTTAATGATTATTGCTTTATGGTATCATTTGTAATGGAGATCTAGTACTGATGGGTGCTGCTAGGCCCTGTTTGTTCCCATTTTTTTCACAATTGCCCTTGATATTTGTAACAGTTGGTTCCTGCAGATGATTGTTGTTATTTTTCCTAGCTCTGTAAAATAATCCTTTGGTAGTTTGATTGGTTTGGCACTGAATAAGTCAATTAACTCAAGTAGTATTGTCATTTTTGTTATACTGGCTCATCTTGCCCATGAGCAAGTAATATTTCTCCCGTTATTTAGAGTTAGCTTTATTTCTGTAAAGAGTATTCTGTAGTTGGATATGTAGTTTCTGATTGTATCTTGGTAGATGGACTCCCATATATTTTATGTGTTATTTTAATTCAGATTTCTCTCTCTGTTTCTGAATGATTTTTGTTGATAATATACAGTATACTGGTGATTTATGTGGATTTATTATATTCCACAGCTTTTGCTTTTAACTTTATGGATTATATCCTGCAACTTTGAATTTATTGTTTCAATTAATTTTTAGTTGATGCTATAGTTTTAGATAAATTATGCCACTCTGCAAAAAGCTATGGTATTTCCTGTTTGTCTATATTTTATTCTCTCAATTTCTTGTTCTCATCTTATCACTGTTAACTAGCATTTCTAGCAATATGTTGTTAGACAGTAGTTATAATAATAGATATTCTTGCTTTTCTAATTGGAAAGACTTCCAACTTTTCTCATTGTATTAAATAAATTTAATATTTATTCTTGGTTTAAATAATACTACTGTTTGCTTTGTTAAGGAAAATTTATTTCTAACCTCTAAAATGTTTTTAATAGAAACATTGGATTTTGTCAAAAATCTTTTCGGCATCTCTTGAGATATTAATATGATTTATTGTATATTATATTTATATGTTCCTTACATTGAATGAACAACTCCACATTCCTGGTATAAATCCAAACACTCATAGTGTATAATATTGACACTATATTGTTGTAGCCTATTTGCTATTATTTTATATTAAGATTTTGGCATCAATGTTCACTTAGCATATTGGTCTATGGTTTTGTTTCTCTGCTTTGTCTCTCCTTTAGTTATAAAAACCATATTTGTGTCATGTAAAGAAATTTTAAGTGTCTCTTCCCCCCTCCCCATTTTCGCAAACAGTTTATGTAATACTGTGATTACATATTCATTGAATGTTTGATGGAATTTATTTATAAATCCATCTAGTTTGGGAGCTTTTATCTTTGGAAGTTCATTCATGACTTTATTTAATTTCTTTTTCTCATAATGAGTTTTAAATAGTCTATTTTCTTTTGTTAACCTACCATTTTATATTTTTGTAAATATTCATTAATTTATTCTAAGTTAAAAGTTTTGTTGGCATATTATCAGACAAAGTAATTTCTGATAATTTTTTATTTGCTCTTCAATTGTGAATTTTCTGTGTCCGTTTTTTATTTTTCGTTTATTTTTTAAATGATTAACTTTTTATCAATTTTATTAGTTTCTTTTCTAACCAGCTCCTAAACTTATTCACCAATTCATTTTGTTTTGTTTTCATATCTCCTTGATTTTCAGGAATTGTTTATTTTTGAGGGATTTTGATTTCTTGATCTAGTCCTTTTAGTGCATGCCCAACTCATTGATTTACTTTTTCTCCCTTTTGTTGATGGAAGTGTTTATAGATGTATTTTCCACTAAGACTACCTGCATTCTAAGCATTGGTATGTTGTATAATTTGTTCTTTCACACTGTTTTTTTTTCTTTTAGTATTACTTGATATGCAGTTAACTTTGGATTCTTTCATCTTATAATTTTTATTGCATTGTGGTCAGTAAATGATGGGTTCAGTATGTCTACTTTTTTGCATTTGGGTGAGGTTTTTATGCTTCAGTAGATTTCCAGTTTTTGTTAAGGTACAATATATATGGCTGAGAAATATGTAAAATCCTTTCTGTTCTCAATCAGTAATCATCAGAGATCTAAAATTTTTAATTTTTCTAAGGTTGTATTCAGATACCTAATTTCTTATTTATTGTTTTGTTGGATTGTCTAGGTCTAAAGGAGTCCATTTGAGGGTCCATTACTATTACAGTTTTTTACTCTCTAGTTCCACCTATAATTTAATTAGCTTTTTACTTAAGTATTTAGATGCTGTGCTATTTGGTATATGTACATATGGGGGTGTGTGTGTGTGTGTATATATATATATGTATGTATATAGGTATGTGTATATATACACGTTATACCTTATCTGTGGTGCCTATAAAACTAATTCAGTTTTCTTGCTTGTCTCTTTTCATCATGTCTCTTGTGGTAGCCTTGTCTGAAATTGTGTTTGCTACCCCTTTTTTTGAATTCAGCTGAAGCATAATAGATTTTGCTGCTATTCCTCATTTTAACTGTATGAATCTTTTACAGTGTTTTTCAAGTGATTATTAGTTGGTATTATCTTAAAGCTTTTGTGTTATTTCAGATAATTAAAACAGATTAAAGGTAGTAATGGAAAGGCCTCTATCTCCTTTGCTAGATTGGCAAGAAAAGGAGGCACAGATTGAGATAAGCATCTAAATCAACCTTCAGTTATTTCAATGGGCATGGTTTGGAGATTGGTGACCACTATTGGAGCTTGGGATAGTGAATGTTTTGCTTACTTTTTATTGTAATACCCTCTGGGGAAACTTGTATCTAATGTACCTAAAAACATTTTGATAGAATATCGTTAGGGAGATTTAAGGTTGGTTGAATGTGAAATGTACTGGGAACTAATGAAATGTAGTATAGTTCAATTTATTAAACACCTACTGTGTGCACAGCACTGTGATAGATGGCTGTGGATATAAAAATAAAACATCAATGGTAATTAAAAACCAAATCCTTAAAATTCTGTTACTAGCAGAACAGTTTTGATGTTTCTTGCAAAAATATTTCAGGACTATTTTTGAAGATCATACTAACTTGGGCTCTGGTTGGGCAAGGAGAATTTAAATTCTTTGGGGATTACAACTGTCAAAAGTATTTAGGGACAAAATATATTTTTTAGGGAATTGTTTTATAGTTACAGATTTGCAAAGTATGTCTTTACTAGGTCTTTATCTTTGGTTCATAACAAAAGTTTGACCTCTGCTTTAGAAGCATTGTAGTAGCAACATAATCACCTTTATAGTAAGAAAACTGAAAACTTCTAAGTATAATTTTAACTTTAGAGATTTAAATGTTAATTATACAAAGTATTTGTTTAGGAGAGAAGGAAGATGGAAAGATCTAGAAAAAGAAACATGGAACCTGAAGTACTTTCCATAGCTTTGTACCATAGGATCCTAGAATATATACTATCAATATTAATAATATTATCAGTACCATTAATTATTGAATATTAATACTCTTTAATAATAACTAAATAACAGTAGCAGCTAGCATTTCTACAGAGCCTACAATTTGCTAGGCACTATGCTAAGCACTCTACAATATTGTTTCATTTGATCCACACATCAGCCCTGAGAGATAGATGCTGTTAGTGTCTTCACTTCAGAGATGAAGAAAGTGAAGCTGACAGAAGTTAAGTGACTTGCCCAGGGTCACACAGCTAGTAAATGTCTGAGACCAGGTCCAGTACTCTATCCACTGTGCTACCTAGTTGCTTAAATAAATGTATACCATAGGATGTAGAGCTGGAAATCACCTTCAAGATCATCTGTTAAAATTTTTATGGTTATAGTAGCTGATGACTCTTATCAGTTTTGAGATTTTGTGTTCTTTCTACCTAAGTAAGCAGTACATAGTTTGTACTTTGCCTAAGTGTTGAAAGGCTTGAAAACTTTTCCCGTTTATTCATGACTTTGCATTCACATGTACTACATAAAGAAATGAATGTTAATGAGGCAGGATGTTATAAGGAAGTGGCATTGAAGAGGTAAGAGTTAAAATCTCTGTTTTGTAACTTACTAATTGGCAAACCAACCTCTCTGAGGCTCAGTTTTCATCTACAAGGGTAGGGCCTTTTAGATGTTCATTTTCTTGATCAAGCCTAGAACATAGCAGAGATTTTTAAGTGATATCTGTAATTAAAACATTTCAGCCTGACACTCTCCACACTGGGACAAAAAAAAAAGAGGATGGAGAATGCCTGTTTGTCCCTAATATGATATGTTCAGTTGGTTGGTTTATCTTTTGGAATTGATCTGTCAGCATATATATCTAGGATGAATGCTGAGCTGGGACTGAAATTGATGAGAGTAGCCTAGATTTAGATTGTCTTTGGTAAATTGTGTTGTTCTTTAATGATTCCAGATTTCTCCTTGAAACAAGACTGGGTTTTTTTTTAACACCAGTATTCTTCTGTTCTGGTGAGGTTCTGTGGCTGTGAGTCATTGGATACCACATTTTCTGAAAAATTAAAACTTACAGTCACCCAGAGGATAACAGGGGATGTGAGGTGCATAGTGCATGTGTGAGTAGGCTAATGCTTATTCCCAACCAAGATTATCCAAGAAACATGGCATAGAGCATATTACATGATTGATGTACTACTGGAAAAGATGGTGAGCAAGTTATATAGCAAGGACAAGAAACAACTGGTGGGTAGCCGTGTAACTTGGAAAGCTGAAATAGACGTGGAAGAAAGCTCCCTAGCATGCTGGACGGGAACCTCACAATCCTCCGCTCCCATCCCCCATAAACGGGGACATGGACAAAAGGCACAAGGATTAAAGAACCCAGATATATTGTAATTTGTGTTATTGAAAGGAACCCCTACATTGATGAGATCCCCATTCCCTAGCACTTACACTACCTACATTAGGAAGATGAAATAAATGAATCTACGTAAAGGACTTTGTAATGGCAAAGTTTTAAAATCGTAAAGCATCTTTTTTCTCAAAGCTTAGCCATAGGTTTTGGCTTAAACAGTTGGATGTGTATGCTTTGTTTGTAACTTTCTTTTGTCTTGGACCCCCTTGGTAATCTGGTAAAGCCTAGAGACCCCTTTGCAGAATAATGTTTGTAAATGCATGAAATAAAATACATAGGATCTCAAGGGAAACCAGTTACATTGAAATCTTACAAATAGATATTTTTAAAAGTTTATAGACCCCAGATTAAGCATCCCTGGTCTGAGCCCCCTATTATGTGACAGCTGTTCAGATGCTTGAAGTTAGCTCTCATGTATGCCTCCCTAAAAGTTTTCATTTCTCCAGACCCCTCATACGCAGGTCCTCCAACCAAGACTTACACAGGCATGAACTGGAAGCTTTTTGCCAGCTTGGTGTCTCTTTTCTGGACACTGTCTAGTTTGTCACTGCCCTTCCTTTCTTCGGTACACCCAGAACTAAGCAAGGCAAAGCTGAATAGAACTACCACTTCCATAGTGACGGACATTATTATGCCTCAGCATAGCCTAAGATTACATGTATTTTTTTTTAGGGCTGCTATTTGGAATGAAGGACATTTAACACATAAAATAAGTCATAGATACACAAGTTTATATCAAAGCTTTTAAGCTTTATTTTACTTCTGATTGGGCAATAACTTTACCTCAAACTCCCATCCCTCAACATTTCCATTTTATCTTGCCCCATAGTAAGAAGTTCTGAGGGGAAGGAGGTTGGGCTGGCATATGAATCATGTAGTATGAAACCTGATAAAGATTCAGGTTGACCTATAATCCTTTCTTCCTTCCATTAAATGGTATAGATTCTGGTTTCAAAAAGTGTAAAACATGTAACATGTCTTTTCTTTTTCCTTATTGGTAGCTATGGATATTTTAAATTATGTGGGGAGAGCAGATGGAAAGAGAGGTGCCTGGAGAACTGGCAAAACTGAAGCTAGGTAACATTTACTTAAAATTTTCAAATTTATGTATTTAAATTCAAATTCCTTTTTATAGTATATTTCATGCTGACTGCATCTCTCTCTCCCAGGAATGAAGATGAAATGTATAAAGTTCTGTTGAGTGACTATGAACAACGCCAGAAGCAAATTCTATTGGAAAATGCTGAACTCAAGAAAGTCCTTCAGCAAATGAAAAAGGAAATGATTTCTCTTCTGACACCACAAAAGCAAAAACCTAAAGAAAAAACTGAGGACATTCCTGGGACTGTAAGTATTTATTTAGTTTTTCTTATATCGTACTAAGCATCATCTTCCTATATTGCTGGTATCACACCTCTTGCTCCTTTGTTGATTTCCTCCTCTTTTCTGCTAAGCATGGATGAGAGTGGATGCCCAGAAATAGGAAAGTTAGGTGGGATCATTTTGGGAAAGAGTGTAACTAACTCCATCCTGGGCATGTCTGTATTATTGTCAGCAACCTCTTAATTGGTCTCCACTCCTTTCCGCCTTTATAATCCATCCTTTAGACCACTCATATAAGTCTAATCATGTGACTGTCACCAAAAATCTGTGGTTGCCATTGCTTGCAAGAAGAATTACAAATTCTGCAACCTGATATTTAAGGCTTCTGTAGGTCTAACTCAGTCCTATATTTTCAGTCTTATTTCACATTATTCCCTTTCACACTTTGTTACATTATGGACATACTGGGGCTTTCTCAACCCCATGCATTTGTGCACATTGTTTCCTATTGCTCAAATGGATTATTTCCACATTGACCTGTTGATTTTTTTTTTATTTAGGTGGTAAAGTGGATAGAGCACTGGGCCTGGAGTCAGGAACAACCTGAGTTCAAATCTAGCCTCAGACATTTACTAGTTGTGAGCGCTGGTAAAGTCACTTAATCTCTGTTTACTTCAGTTTTCTCAACTATAAAATGGGGATAATAATAGTAGCTACCTCCCAGGGTTATTGTTGAGGATCAAATGAGATAACATTTTTAAAGCTTTTAGCATAGTGCCAGGCACAAAGTAGGTGCTTAATAAATGCTTATTTCCTTTCCTTCCTTCTGTCTCTTCAATTTCTTCCATGAAAGGTCTGTGCTAATTTTTTCCCTCTATCCTATCTACAAATAATCCTGCCTTCCCTCAACCTCGTGTCTGTGTTTGATATATCATAAGCACTTGCCCCATTCTAGCCTATATTTTATTTTTTTAAAAATATATGCCTACTAAATGTATTAGGTCCCAGTGGGTAGAGACTATTGCTTATATCCTCAGTGCTTCACACAGCTCTTTGTAATATGTCGTGGAAAAAAAATAACCTGTCGTTTAAATATCAAGTATTTATTAAGTACCTGCTGTGTGCCAGGTGCTATGCTAGGCACAGAGGATATAAAGACAAGAAGTTAAACGGTCCTTTTCTCAAGGATCTTAGATTCTATTGGGAGAGATAACATGTACATATATGTGTTACAGAATTATAGAGAATAAATTTAAAATAAATACAAGGTCATTAGGGAAGATACTAGGAGTTAGGGGATAGAGATTAGGACAAGTTTTATATAGAGGGTGATTCTTAAGCTGCATTCTTGAAATTGAAGGACTTTATAAGGTGGAGATAAGAAAGTGCATTGTAAGCGTGTTGGACAGTCAGGGCAAAAAAAGAGGGGAAAGATGAAGGGTCATTTTATGTGCAACATTGAGGATGAAGGTATGGGTAGATGTCACAATGCACGGAAAGCTAAAATGTATCTGAAGACTGGAAAGGTAGGAAGGGACCAGTTTTGTGAAGAGATTAAGATGCCAAATAGTAGTATATGTTTGATCATAGAGGCTGTAGAGGGCCACTAGAGTTTGCTTAAGCTGGGAGGAAGGCAAGATGTGTTGCTTAATCGGAACCTAAGGAAAATCACTTTGGTAGCTACATAGAGGGTGAATTGGAGTAGGGAAAGGCTTTGAGGTAAGGAGACAAAATAGTTGTATTTGTAATATTCCAGGCTAGAGGTGATGGCGGCTCAATGAGTAGAGAATAGGAGACACATTTGAGTGTTGTTGTAGAGAAAGAAATGAGATTTGGCACCTGATTGGATATATAGGATGAGGAACAGTGAGGAATTGATGACATCAAGTTAATAAACCTGGGTGACTGAAGGCTGGTTGATGCCCTTGGACAATACGAAGGAAGTTTAAAAGAGGAGTGCATTTGGTGTGAAATAGGAGTTCTGTTTCAGACATGGTGAATTTGATGACGATAGTATATCCAGTTCAGAATGTCCAATGGGGGCAATTTTTAATTCAGAATTGGAGCTTCACCGAAAGAGAATAGGGCTGGATGTGTAGGTTTGGGAGTCATCTGCATAGAGATAGTAATTGAATCTGTGGGAGCTGATGAGGTCATCAGGTGAAAAAGACCCGTCTCTGAGGTAGGTGTTAAGAATTGTGGAGCAAAACAAAACAAAAATTACTTGGTTTGAGTGGACTTGGAAGAGAAATGTATTTGTCAAAGATTTTTAAACATTTGGAGTTCATTGTTCATATTATTTTAGTCTCCTACTTGAAATGATTTTTATTGTTTGTTTCAAGGTTAGCTGCATGCAGAAACATACTATATACACAATAATACTATTAACATCTTTCATCTAAGAATCTCAATTTTATAACTTTCTTTAAAAATCTTTGGGGTGAGTTTTATACTTCTCTAAGCATTTTTGTAGATGCATAATCTCATTTTGGTCTGATGTAGTCTTGTAAGATAGGTACTGCTTGATTTTAGTATTATCCCCATTTATAGGGGAGGGAATAGAAACACCAGAGGTACCAGCTAGTTAGTGATAGGACTAGCGCTGAAATTTACTGCTTTACTTGACTCCTAATTCAGTGTTCTCTCCATGAAATAATTTTGTTCAGTAGTATATGGTCTTTACCCAATAAAGGTTATTCTTCATTTAAAAAAAATAAATGTTAGAAACCTAATATTGTACATTAATACAACCAAACTTGCTTAAATAACTTTTCAGATTAATAATTGCAAAGATTCTTGTAAGTGCTGACTTCTTTGGTATAAAAGAAAAATAAAAAGGCTTTTAGAAAGAAATTTTAAGTTTCTTTTTGCTTTTAATACCAGTTATTTTCCCTTAACTGCTACCATCTCCACTGAACCCTTTCTTCTAACAAACATTTAAGCAAAGCCAGATGACACAGCAGTGGATTCTAACAGTAAACACTGTATGCATAGTTATCCCTGTGTTGTATCCCACCCTCTTCTGAGAGGAGAAAGTAATAATTTCATTCCATTAGGAGGATCATAGACCCAGAGCTGGAAAGGAGTTACTGAGTCTGACTCTTTCATTTTACACATGAAGAAGCTGAAGGTCAGAAGGGTTTAAATGACTTGCCCACAATAGTATAGACAGTAAGAGCCTGAGCTGTGGGAATCAAGTTCAGGTCCTATAACCCTCAAGTTCACTGATTGCTCTTTTCACCATGGAACATTCCTGTTTGCTTCCTTCTTCATTGGCGTGATAGATCTATTCCCCAATTATGGATCAATTACTTTGTTTCCAGATTTTGCTGTCACAGTAAATGCTGTTATTAACAGGGGACCTTCTCTCTGCCCCCACTTTCTATCTCTGATCTTTTAGGGGCATATACTAAGTAGGATTTCTGGGTTAAAAAGTTTGAACAGTTAAGTGACATACGATTTTTTAGAATGGTTGGACTAATTCATAGGTCTGCCAACAAAGTATTATTGATTTCGTCTTCTCACAGATGTTTTAACATTGATTCTTTTCATTTTTAATACCTTTGCCAGTTTACTTGTTGTGAGATGAAAGCTCCGTTGTTTTAATTGCACTTCTCTTACTAGTGAGACGGAGCAAACTTTCATATGATTGTCGATCATTTCCATATCTGTCAGTTCCCCATTTGTCTTAGATTTAAACTTTTATCAGAGCTAATGAAAGATTTTTTTCACATTCACTTGTTTCTCTTCTACATTGAGTCTATTTATGCAGAAACTCTTTTAATGTGACCAAAATTATTTTTCTTTTGGGATCTCTGGATTTCATTTGGTTACAAATTCATCTCCTGCTTTTTGTAGGCATTTCATTCTCTTTTGTTCTAGTTTTTAAAAATGTCTTTTATATTTGAGATGTGTATAATTTTGGAGCTTCCTGTATGTACATGGAGTAAGATGTTAGTCAATTCAAATTTCTGGCAAGCTTCCATCCAGTGTAGTTTTCCCAACAGCCCAGCTTGAATAGGGAGTTCTTGCCCCCTTTATTTGGTGTTCCTAGGTTTGTCAAACCCTGGGTTGTTATATTCACTTATTTCTGGGAGTTACTTTCCACCTTGTTCCACAGGTTGTTTATATGTTGTAATTAGTATCAAATAGTCTTGAATATTACTTCTTGATGATGCTGTTGGCCTTTCCACTACCTTATTTTTGTTGATTGCTGCCGTTGAGATTCAAGACTTCTTTTGTACTTTTAAATGAACTTTGTTACTTTATTTCTGTAAAGCAGTCTCCCTTGGCAGGTTGGTATAGCACTCAATCTCAAAATTAATTTAGGTATCATAGTTATTTTTATTATACTGGCGTGATTTTATCATAACACAAATGACTCTCTAATTATTTGTTTATTTCTATGAAGACCGCCTTTCATTTGTGTTAAAGTCTTGAGTATGTGTGTGTTTAGGTAGCTATTAATCACCTGTGTATATGTATTTACACAGCTCTTAATTATTTCTATGACCCACTCTTTCTTCAGGATGTCCTCATCCTCTTCATTTAGATCTGTGTCTTTTTCTTCCCCTTAAAACGTTTGAGTTTTCCCCTCCTAAGCTTCCCTCTCCTAAGTCCTTACTCACATTATTCTTGCCCCGCTTTCCCCAGAGTTATCACATTTCTGAAAGTCATCATTTTGAATGGGATTTCTATTATTTTCTCCTGGTTTTTGTTGATTCTCTATAGATGTGTCAATGACTTTTATTTTGTTTTATATCCTCCTCTTTTACTTAAACTTTTATCTCAGGTTTTCTTGTTTCTCTGGAGATTTTTAAGTTTTACCTTATCTCTCCCCTTAACTGATGTTATATATAATGTATCTATGTGTATATAAGTATGTATGTATACATATATTCATTTATTAAAAGAGAAACTTTCCATGGTTATGCTTGTTAGTTTTTAACAACATAAATGAATGCCGTATGTTATAATTCTGTTATGTGGTTGTTACTCCTAATGTTGATCCATCATTGGTGGCT